TTTGGACATTGCTGGGCCATTTCCAGAAAGTGATAATGGAGGCAAGTACATGTTGGTAGTAATGGATTACTTCACTAAGTGGGTCGAGATTTACGCACTTCCAGACCAGAAGGCGGCCACCGTTGCAGATAAGTTGATCCAAGAATATATCAGCCGATTTGGAGTGCCTTTGGAGATCCATAGTGACCAAGGCAGGAACTTCGAAAGCGATTTATTCCAAGGAATATGTGATAGACTAGGTATGAAGAAAACAATAACTACGGCTTATCATCCGCAATCGGATGGTATGGTAGAACGAATGAATAGAACAGTTGGCAAGTATTTGACAAAGATGGTGTCCGATCATCAGCGAGACTGGGACCAATATCTTCCGTTCTTCACAATGGCCTACAGATCTGCTGTTAATGAGTCAACAGGCCAGACACCAGCCAGAGTCCTATTCGGACGCGAGATGCGACTACCTTGTGATCTAGAGTTTGGGTGTCGACCTGGAGAAGATGTAGCAGGTGAAGATTATGTGATCGAATTACGAAGAAGAATGGACGATGTACACGAGTTGGTCCGTTCCCATCTCCAAATCGCTAGTGACCGAATGAAGAAACGGTATGATACACAAGCCGAAAAGGGGTGTTTTAAGAAGAACGATAAAGTCTAGCTTTATAACCCCAAAAAGCGAAAAGGTTGTTCTCCCAAATTGCAGCAGTTTTGGGAAGGTCCATACCTCATTATGGAGAAGATCAATGATGTTATTTACCGAATAAGCAAGATCCCGAGAGGAAAGCCGATGATAGTACACCATAACCGGTTGGCGTCTTTCGAGGGTGACCACGACGTAGATGAAGAAGTGGAAGTAAACCAAGTCCAAGATGTGTCTGACCTCACGTTTGAGGAATTCATGGGTGCCTATGGAGGTACCGGTAAAGCAAGACATGGTGTTACCACTGAAGAAAGGCAAGATCTACTCGCGCTTCCCGATGACTACTCACTGGCCCTTACCATCCCGGCCAGTATCAAAGATGCACCAGGGTTGGCATCCGTCTTTCGAAGGAAGTTTGGTCGAGTTGCAGAACTTCAATGCCAAGTGCCAGCTCCTGGTAAAACCTTGAAACTTCAAGATGCATCACGTTACCTTTTCTACCTGGTAACAAAAGACACTGCCCGTGACCAACCTACCTACCGAGATGTATGGGAAGCCTTACTTCAGTTGAGAGAGCACGTACTAGAGTCCGACGTGCAAAAGTTAGCCATGCCAAAGTTGGAGTGCCGCCAATTAGATTGGAGGGTTATACGAAACATGGTGGAGGAAATCTTTAAAGACACCGAAGTCCAGGTGTTAGTCTGTTGCAATCCGCATAGTTACTGCTGCGGAGAGAAAACCGTCCCTTGTCATTTCTATACAACTGGAAGTTGTAAAAGAGGGTCCAGTTGCCGATATCAGCATGTCGTTCAAGTTCCAGTCCCGACAAGGTTCCAGGAGGAACCATCTTTTAAGAGGGGGGCAATGTTACGATTTTAAATGTTATGGCATATAGAACTGTAAATATTTTATGACTAATTCTTTTTTATTGATTCTCGTAATTTGTAGGTCAAAATATACCTGAGCTTCGCTACCAGTTGTTTACAGAAATCTCTAGACACTAATTTTAGTGAGTCATCCACGTCTCGAGGTTGAAAAACGAGTCGAGCGCCTTCACCAAAATACGAGATTATTCAGGAAGTTTGCCGAAAGTTCCAGATGACAACAGTTGTGTATATAAATGAAAGATTTTTGTATTTGAGTCAGTGATAAGAAGCTCGGGAACCGCGATATTTAAATGTAACGAAACATAAATTATTATTTGTAATATAAATTAGGATTAATAAAGACTTTAATAAATTCGTAATTAGTTATCGTGAGTTTTAATAAATTAGAATATAGACAATAAATTAGAATAAAGACAAATAAATTAGAACTATATAAACTCCACAGATCATTATTTTTGTCTTTCTGCAATTTAGTTTTAGGCCGTATTTGTTACATGCTTCTACAACGTTATCCATCATCGTTAGGAGCCCCTACGCACTGTCTGCCAGCAACACTGTATCGTCTGCATATCTAATGTTGATTATAAGTTGGCCATTTACAGTAATCCCATCTTCTGATTCGTCCAAGGCCTCTCTAAAACTGTTTTCATAGTATATGGTAAATAATTCCGGTGACAATATGCAACCCTGTCTAACTCATTTTTCGACTGCGAAGATCTCGGATAGTTCATTTTCTAATCGTACTGATGCTCTTTATTAGAGATATAAGTTTGAGATTTGTCTTATATTCTTACCATCGAGTCCTGATGTTTTTAGAATATCAATTAGTTTCCTATGTGTGACTTTATCAATTGCTTTCCCAAATTTAACAAACATGCATAGCAGTTGATATCCCTGGCTCTCTGTATTAGAACTTGCAAACTAAAAAGTGCTTCCCGTGTTCCGAGTTCTACTCTGAATCCAAATTAAACTTCACTAGGTGTTCTTCTAATTTGGTGTATGTGCAGAAGTGAATGATAGCAAGGAGTACTTTAAGTACACGGCTCATCAAACTAATTAATCTATGTTCTTCACATTTTTTAGTTTGGCTTTTTTAAGAAGTGAAATGAATATTGATAGTAGCCAGTCTTTTGGTAAGTAACCAGTCTCATTGATGTTGTTGAATAGCTTCGTAAGAGCTGTGATTTGGTGTGCCTCTAACAGCTTTAAAATGTATCATGCATCCCATCAGCTCCTGGTGATTTTCCATCTTTAATCCACTTAATGGCTATAGTTACTTCTTCGTTTGTTATTTCTGGGCCGTAGGGATTGTTTATTTCAGTCGGACTTCATGCTGCATATTCGAATAATTCTTGCATATTTATATTCTTTTCATGTTCGTAATGTATCCTCAATGCAAGTCAACATTTGGCCTTCAATGTCTACAACTATACCTGTATTGCGTTGTTTTCAGGTATTCTGTACTTCTTTAATTTTTTTGTGCATATGAAAATCGTCATGTTTGCATTGTAGTGTTTCAACTTTCATACATTTCTTCGTCAGTCATGCTCCTTTTGCTCCTTTTATCTCCTTTAGTATAGTCTTATGAAACTTTTTGTATTCGTTGTCATTTCTATCTTTTAATTTTCTTCGCTCTTCCATCATCTGCAATATTTTATCTGTTATCCATTCATGCTTCTTCTCTCCTTTTCATTTTATATATTCACGCGAAATTGTGGTAATAGATGTCTTCATTTAGACGCTCCAAAGATTTATTTTAGGATGAAATACGTCATCATCATCATCAATGGTGCTACAGCCCTATGAAAGAGCCTCGACCTTCCCAAGTCTATTACGCCAGGCAGTCCTATCCATTGCCAACCGTTGCCAGTTTGCTGCGCCTATCTTTCTACCATCATCATCTACACCATCCTTCCATCTGAGTTTTGGCCTACCCGTTTTTCTGCTTCCCACGGGTTGTGACATAAGGATTCTTCTAGGAGGGTTGTTCTGCTGTGATCTTGCTAGATGTCCTGCCCATCTTAATCTTCCTATTCTTATAAGAGATATAGAGATCTTTACAACCAAATGTTTGTTTATATCTGTGGTATACCTCGTAGTTCTATCTCCTCCTCCAAACACCATTTTCACAGATGCCACCAAATATTCCTCTCAAGGATCCTTCGTTCAAATATAAGCAAAAGGTCTTCATTTGCCTTGGAGACGGTCCATGTCTCCGATCCATATGTCAACACTGGCTGTATAAGGGTTTTGTATATAGTTATTTTTGTTTTTTGGTTTAAGTTTCTACTTCTCATATGTCTACTCAGTCCAAAATAGCATCTGTTTGCCATTACTATCCTTCGCTTGATTTCTTCCGTTATGGAGTTCTCTCTGGTGATCAGGGAGCCTAAGTATGTGAATTTGTCGACCACTTCAAAGGTAGAGTTATCAACCGTGAATTGGGGACCGATGTTCCTGGCTCTATTGTTGGGTGTTGATGCCATCATCTTAGTTTTCTCCTCATTTACTTGCAGGCCCATAGATTTTAAGGCATTTGAGAAGGTGGTATACATTTCTTCTAGCTTGCGTGTTGTGCGGGCAACTAGGTCCACATCATCTGCATATGCCAAAATTTGCGATGATTTAGTAAAAATATTTCCTCTGTTGTCTATTCGGGCATCTCTGATCGCCTTTTCCAGTGCTATGTTGAAAAGGAGACACGCCAGCGCGTCTCCCTGTCGCAGCCCAACATGCGTTCCAAACACCTGTGATTGTTCGCCCTGTATTTCGACTTTGCAAACCACATTACGCATTGTAGCCTTAACCAATCTTATCAGTTTATCGGGGATGTGGAATTCATTCATTGATTCATACAATTTATTTCTTAGGACACTATCATAGGCAGATTTGAAGTCTACAAAAAGATGGTATGTATCGATATTGAATTCATTGGTTTTTTACAGTATTTGCCTTGGCACAAAGATCTGATCTGTTGTTGATCGACTCGACCAGGATGAAATACGTATAAGTGGATATACAGACGCACTATACGTGAAATCAACTCTTAACTGTTTTTCCTTTTAAATAATTATAATTGTTAATAGTATTAGGTTTTTTTTTGTAACCTTCTTACCTTCTGTACCTTAATATGTATAATTTTGACCAATTATAGATTTTTTTATATTTGCTTATAAATACTTGTTAACCAAGGAATTTAGCCTACTAAGCTTTTGGAAGTGATATTTTATTTGTAACTGAAATGCATAGAAAATGAACAGGACTGTATTGAAGTTATAAATTTACCGAAAAGATGTTAAAAACTTGTAGTGTCCTTATTCCGAAATAAATTCGTATCAATCCGTGTTATGTATTCTTTTTGTTAATGCTAAATTTCATTTATTTATTTAGTTCTCGAAGGAGACCCAGTGGTAATGTAATAAACATTGTAAAAATATTCTAAATAAAACAATGATAACTATAAAATGATCACTTACTTCTAATAATTTTAAACCTTCCTCTAAAACTTTTATAGCTTGAGCTATATTTTGATTTTGAATACAGACATATGCGTATTCTACAGTAGCGCTTAAATTTTTGTCAGCCAATCCTAGAAACATAGCAAAAATAATATAATGTCCTATTTTACTGGTAATAAGTCACAATTTTACTATAAAACAAGTATATTTTGACGTTTCTATTTCCATTTCTAGAATCGTTTGCTAAATACAAAACATTAATAAATTAAAATAATCTAATGGTTGAATGCTCAAATATATATGATTTTACTGGACAGTAAATTGTGAACAAAACTGGAAATAATAGTGGGAGAGAGTTTTGACATTAATCGTGTATTTTCAAAATATATGCCAGTAGATGCAACCTTGAAAATAGCCAAAACAAAATTAAAGAAGAAGGATACACTGGCAACTAGAACAAGACTAAATGTGCCAGTTAAAATAAAATTATTGACATTTTATACTGATAATATTTATTTTCAACAAAATAATAAACTCTATAAACAAAATTTAGATCTAGCAATGGGCTTTGTTTTATCTTTATTATTAGCGAATACATTCATGGAAGATTTCGAAACCGATATTCTATCTAAACAAAATATAAAACCCACTACATGGTAAATATAATGATGTCATGATACTATAACAAACAAGATATGTTCACTTGCCGTTTCTAATTTTAATTGACTTTGCGCATGACTTCATAACGAGACATAGCCAGGGGACTTGTGTGTATCATATTTTCACGATGCATCATATGGTAACGTTGTTCCATTACTGTAATGAACAACTTAGAAACTTAAACTGTTAACGCTAAGTACAATCATCGCCAGCTAACTTGGCGAGAGAGTACGCAGAACGTCACAGAGAAATAAATTATGTTTACGCCCTATGATTCTTCCTATTGGTTTACTATTTCTGATAAGTATATTCAGTAGCGTAGCGGTATAGGTCAAATAATTATTACACAATTTTATTAAAAAAGTAATATTTTTCGTAAGCTTTAATATATTATTAGCAAGATGAAATTGTAATTTTGGTTTATTTAATTTAAATAGTAAGCCATTGGTTTATAATATTTATTTAACTTAGTAAACAAATTATACAATAATGACTGAATTTAATTCACAAATCTACGTTGATATTGTATTTCAAATTAAATGGAGGATATTGTATAAATAAATGCAACACAGTAATAATTTAATTTTAATATTTTGGTTTTATTATAATACTAAAACAAGTACCCGTGTTGAAAAGTGTTATCTATTTGAAAATAAATGGATTGTTAATAATTTTCTTCATTTTCATCTTCGGAAGAAGAAAACTCTGTACTGGAAGAGTCACTGTCAAGATTTATAATAATTGGAGCTATTTGCGTGGCGTTATCAGCAACTATTTCGCTGTCCATATACTCATATTCCTTCTTAATGACATGGTAACATCGTTTTCTTCACTCATTTGCATCAATATTAGTGAATTCTTTCTCGGCGAGTTTTTGTACGTCAGCTAGCTTAAATGTAACGTTTTTCTGCCTCATATTATTTTTGACTGTAGCCCATATTAGTTTAATAGGGTTTAGGTCAGGATGTAAGGAGGTAAACGTAAAGGAATATGGCCATGCGCACGTAGAATTTCGTCAAATTTGTATTTTACATGATGAGGTTTATGATATTTAATTATTTCATACATTCAGGTTTTAAAGCACTAGGTGTAAATGAAATATTTTTCTGCATTAACCATTCTATCATTTGATTTTTGTTTGAGTTTGATGTAGGCGCCCGCTCCAACTGAATGTTGTGATAAGGTGCGTTATCAAAAACTAATACCGATAATAGCAGGTAAATTAGGTAATAAATGTTCTTGTAACCACTTTCCATAGTTGTCTGAATTCATTTCAGAGTGGTAATCCCCTGATTTTAAACCTGATTTAAAGATTAATAAGCCATTTTTTATGAATCCCATATCCCCACCGGCATGCACTATTATTAGTCGTTGACTTTTGGAAATATTTGAAAATAAGCCCTTGGTTGATTCGTCAGTCCAGTTCTTTGAAGAAGTATGACCGCTGTGTAAGTAGGTCTCGTCAACATACACGATTGGCCTATTTTGACTCCGAAAATATTTGATTTGCCTGAGATATTTTATTATCAAAGCTCTTATTGCACTTTTTTCTACAAGCACTTTTCAGTTGTTTTCGGTTTTCCTTCAACGAAATTGCATTTTGCGTAGAAGTCGCCTTAAAGATGTTTGTGAAATTGTGATATCCAAATCGTTGTGAATTTTTTGTTTTAATTTTTTTACCGTAACCCGACATTTTTCTGTTTTATAAAAATCGTAAATTATTCTGCGAATGTCGCTTTTGAAATAATTAAACACATTAAATATAATCTCCCGAGATTCTCTACTAATAACAGAATTATTTTTTCTACTATTTTTCAACGCCATCGTTAGAAATTGTCACAAATACATTTAACTATCCGAAATAATAAGAAGTCTGAAAAATAATAGCCGCAAATCACTTAAGTGTTACGCACCTGATAACTGATAAACACATTAAATATAATCTCCCGAGATTCTCCACTAATAACAGTATTTTTTCTACTATTTTTCAATGCCATCGTTAGAAATTGTCACAAATACACTTAACTATCCGAAATAATAAGAAGTCTGAAAAATAATAGTCGCAAATCACTTAAGTGTTAGGTACGCACCTGATAACTGGGAGGAGACCAAAGACCACCACCTAGCCACTAAGCAATTTTGGGTTTGTGCGCACCGCCAAGTTAGCTGGCGATGACAGTATACCTCGATGATATATCTTGCACTAAGAAGTCATAAATAGTTACTTTTTGTGAAAACGTGGTTTGAAAATTAATAAGTAATTTGTAAAATTAATTAAAGAAATGGAAAGAAAACAATAAAAAGAGCAATGTTAGGTATACGACTGTCAGATAAAAAGAGGAACGACTGGGTAAGATCCAAAACAAAAGTCGAGGACATAACAACAAAAATTGCCAAACTTAAATGGAGCTTCGCGGGCCACACTGCTAGACAGAAAGACCAACGTTGGAATACTACAATACAACATTGGAGACCTTACGAAAGTAAACGACCAAGAGAAAGACCACAGATGAGATGGGTTAATGACATTAAAAGAATAGCCGGAACAAATTGGAAATATGTTGCTCAGGATAGAGACCGATGGAAGGAGTTGGGAAAGGCCTATGTCCAAACATGGACGACAGAAGGCTAAGAAGAAGCAGAAAAATTTAAGAAATATATGAATCTACGATTTGATTGTGTGTATTACAAACAAAATAAATACTGCTACAAAACATAAATTAAATATAAAAGGCCGGTAAAATGTAAAGAATTTGACCATAAAGGAAAAGCGGGTCATACGTGAGACTTTATGAATATCGATTAGACATTTATTTTACAATCTTTGTGATTTTCTCTTGCGGATTGTAATTATCTTTACTATTTTTATTTAAAATTCGTATTTTAAAATATATTTTATAACTAAAAAAAAGTAAATTTACATCTTCGCTAACATTTACATATTTTGTAGCATCTATTAAGTTTTTTTTTAAATACTTTTTTGTTGTTTTTAATGTGTCGCCATTATAACTACGAAAACTATGTTCCAGTTCACTACATACATCTAAAGTAACTTTTTTAAAGACCTATCAAAAATAAAGTATTACTTCGAGTTCTATTAAAATGGGCATTGGTACCTATATATCATTATCTATAGAAACATTTACTCTGCGTTAAGGTGTGTCTAAAACCAAATAATTTACATATTTTTAATACATTTCTTTTCTACATTCTTCTTTTACGTCTATTTTCAGGCGGTGTTTTAGCGCTTGGGGATTTTATTAACCCATTATAGCCTACAACCACCATATGGACCGAGCTGTAAAGGTATTGTTTAACACAATACAATTATAAAAAAGCAGGCAACCAACATTACATTTACCGGATGTATACTTTATTTAGACTTGTCTGAACCTACGTTGATGAATACTCATTAGTGTTTTATTAGATTTCACAAGCTAAGGAAGTTAGAAAATCGTGTTATAGTAAAAAGTGTTTAATAATGGACATCCGATTTATGTAAGTAAATGTTCAGTACCTTTTTTTGGGAATACTAAAATCAAATCAATTTTACTTATTATATAAGATCTTAAAATATAACGTAGTGTGCATATTTTTGTATTAAAATTACAAGGGACAGTAAAAATTCATGTCAATATCGCTGTAACCATATGGACCCACTAGGCGGTTATGTAGTCAAAACATATCTTTTTATCATTTCAGTGGAATTACACTACAACTTCGTACAGGTGCGGAAGTTGTATTTGCAGACTCTGAACATCTAGGAGGAGTACAATCAGACCTGGAAGCAAACTATGATAAGGATTTGCAGAACGTAAATAGCTCTTATGAAATAAAAACTAATACAAACCCCCGAATGGTAATTAATTTGCCAAAACCTACAACTTATATTGACGGAGACCTTCATTATACGCCGCGCAACTTTCCAAAAGGGGATTACAGTAAATATTCAGAGATGAGTTATGTGCAACTGTTTATTTACTGAATTATTTATTACTGATAAGTTGCTAGAAATGATAGTCTCTGAAACAACAAATTATGCTCTACTGATAAATCAACCGAACCCTGGTTGATTTATGAACCTCCCAGAATTTCCCAGAAGAAGCTACTGGGAGAGAAGCCCTAACATGCAAAATATTCTGGTGTCTGATGCCATGAGACGTAACAGGTTTTTACACATTTGTCATTTACTTCATTTTGCAGACAATAATAATATAAATCAAAATGACAAAATGTACAAACTAAGATTACTTACAGATACGTTAAAAAAATCGTTTATAGAGCATTTTGTCCCAGAAGAAAATATAGCTTGTGATGAATCGATGATACGCTACTTTGGGCATCATGGATGCAAACAGTTTACCAGAAGAAAACCTGTAAGGTTTCGCTATAAGGTGTGGTGTATAAATACACCTAGCGGATATTTGATAAACTTTGAAGTATATTAGGGAAAAAATCCTAGATCTAATGA